AGCCGCCCAGCTAGAAAGGAGTCGGACCCAGGCAAGCTGGCTCCATGGGCCCTAGAGGGGGCGGAAGAGCAGAGGCAGGAAGGGGGGAGGATCTGGAAGAGAGAAGGGAACTGGGGCTGAAAAGAAAGCAACGCATGCAGGGCAGGGACGGAGGCGCCAGGGACAGGAAGTTGCCCCCCTGCGTCTCAAAGTGCCTACCTATTGAGGAAGGTGTTCCCAAAAGGGTTGAGCTTGCGGAATGGCTTGTCCGGGTCAACCACGAGGGCGTTGCCCGGCACGGTGCCCTCCGTGTCCCCGTGCATGACGGCCACAAAGCAGTCGGTGGTCGGCTCGGGCCCCACGCGGGAGCCCGGCACCTCCTGCTCCAGCAGGTACTGGATGAAGCTGGTCTTGCCCGTGCTGTACTGGCCGGCCACCAGCACCATGGGCTTGCCGTCGAAATCGGCGTCCTCCAGGGCCGGCGAGTGGAAGGCCCCGAATCGATAGTGTTCCTCAAGGGGCAGCAGTTTGGTGCGGTACAGCTCCTTGAGCGATGAGGTCACCGTGCGGATGGCCTCGGGCTGCTGGCCCCGCGCCCCGCTTCGCTTCAGCCAGCTGAACATGGTGGCCGAGCACTGCCCACTGGGCTTGCCGAGGGAGACGTGCAGGGCCGGGGGGAGTGGCCTGCGGGAAGAGGAGAGGGTGTTGAGGGGGGGCTGCCTGGTGGAGGGGGGGGAGGAGGGGAAGGGGGCCGGAAGGTGGAGTGGGTGGAGGAGGGTGGGAAATGGGGAGAGGGGGAGCAGCAGAGAGCACTGATCGTGGAGGACAGGACGTGATGGTTCATGGAGGAGGCAGGAGGAAGAGAAAGAGGTTACCAGTGGAAGCAGGATTGGATGGGGACCGAGGGATGGGCGAAGGGAAGGCTGTGGAAGCTGCCTGGAAGAAATGTATTCCTTCATCCGCTGTTCATTCTTTCCTTCCTCCCTTCCCTCCCTTCCATCAATTCACACATTTTCCCTGAAACCATGGGTCAGGAGCTATGGATCCAGAAACAAGACTGAGACTGGCCCGTACCCACTCAGAGTCCCCATTGAGGGGAGGACGTGGCACCAAGCAGTCAGTGATGCCTGGGAAATGCCGGGCAGTGGCAGCAGAGGGGGGGGACACAGTGAACTGACCACAGGAGCGGCAAACTCTGGCTGAGCTGACTGTTGAGCTGCTCGCTTCCACGCAAAACAAGGATACGGTGCAAAACAGGCGGGGAGGATGGTGCGTGCCAAGGCTGGGAGCTGTGAGACACGTGGAGGAGGTTGCTGGACACAGGAGGGGTGGCAACTAAGGCTGAGGAGTTGCCAGGGTGCACTCAGGTACAAGAGACCTCAGGGGATCACAAGAATAATAGCATTTACGATCACTGCATTCCAGACACTGCTCTAACTCGTTTCATCTTCATAACAACATTGTGAGATAGGGCTGTTGTTATCCCCACATTTCTGACTCACAAAGCGGGCTCGCTTGCGAAGACAGCAATAACTTGCCCCAAATCACTTGCTTAGAAAGTGCGCGGTCTGGGACTCCGGGCAACCCGACCTCAGAGCCTGCGCTCCTAAGTCTAAGAACTCAGGAGGACAGAATCACCGACCCAGCAGCAACAAGCACCCCCAGCACCCAGACTGTGTTCTCTATATTCCCTTACTATCTTTTCATTCTCTGTAGGATCTGTAGTGCTGCCCCCTCTCCCGTGCCGGATATCAGTCATTTGTGTCTTTTTTCTTTTTTTTTTTCCTTGATCAGTCTCAGTAGATGCTTATAATTTTACTGATCTTTTCACAGGACCAGCTTTGGGTCAGATTGGAGTCTCCAGATACCATTTGCCATTCAAAAGCACAACGAAGCAAAACAAGACAAAACCAAACCACGAAAAACAGGGCTCCTTGGAGAAACGGCTGCTTCCAGGGCTGGGGCAAGGGAAGGATCAGTGAAGCTGCGTCAGGTACTGGGAAGGTGCTCAAAGATGGGGCACAGGGTGTCAAAGGTGTGGCACGGGGACA